GCTTGCTATACTCTCTCTTACAGCAACACCTACTGTCTCCATATCATAATGTCAACACCCCCACCAGTCCTATTGTCCATCCTTTCATCATCACTGTCTGCGCTTTCAAACTAATCTCACGTCGTATACTCGATTCACTATTGGTCGCCTCTTTAGCAAATCGTCAACCGGCATTGTAACGCCATTCAAGTTGTTATGCTTTTCTTTTGTTTCAACATCATTTTCATCTTAAGGTTTTTCTACGAATGTAGAACCTATGACACCTTTAAGTAGATTAAGTCTTCTCAGCGTCACGCGGTCCATTTAAAAACCTCCATGGAACTCCCTCGAAAGTGGTCTCAGTAATTTGCCTGCAAATCGAAAAATGTTCAAGCAACTCAACTTCTGACAGCAAGAAACATTTCAAAAATGATATTTCAATACTAATACTTTATTTGAAAGTGACAAGCGAAAAAGCAGTCTCTTTGCCGCGTGCACAACTTCCTGATGCCACGTGGAGCGCGGCGGTGTGAAAGGTGAAATAACGCGCGCCAAAAACCAAACACGGTTTTACAGCCCGAACAAGATCGCTGTCGAAAGCAAGTCCGTCATTTTTTTTCTAATCTTGACATTATGCTTATTTAACGCATATTTTCAAAACTTTTAGTGCAAAATAGTCTTTTCGAGACATTCATATATAAAAATAACACTTTCAAACTTCAATAAAATCTTATATATGAATGTCTCGAAGTTGTGTAAAATAACACTTTCAAACTTCAATAAAATCTTATATATGAATGTCTCGAAGTTGTGTAAAAAAACGTAGCGTGGCGCGATGTGAAAAAAGTTAAATCGTACTTTTTATAACCTCTTTGGGTTAAATCGCTTACTATTGTTTTGTTAGTGTGGTCAACAAATCGTGGCGCAACTTATTGTCAAATATTAATTCTTCAACTATCAAACTTAAAGTGTCCAGCTTTTACACTATGACTTGTATCAATTTATCTTAACCCTTAAAACCCTGAATTCTTTTTTTGCACACCTCCCTAGGATCCTGAATTAAAATTGAGATACTAGAAAAAATTAGGTTGGTTCATTGTTTTGCTTACTGTGTCTTTAATTGTTGTTAGATTTTATTGAAGTTTGAAAGTGTTATTTTTATATATGAATGTACAGTCTGGACAAAAGGGGAAAAGGTTAAAACACTGGTTTTTAGGACCAACTCTATGAGTTAAGTCTTGTGTGTGATCCCCGACTCCACTTCTGTCAAAGTATCATTAGACCCAGCCGTAGATCTAGCCTCTGATAACTTTAGTGGTGATCCCCTGCCAATTCCACTATCGTCAAAATCATCATCGATGTTATGCGGAACATTGCAATTGTCTTCAGTGGTCATATTTATGGATATATCCGACTGCGAGATCACTATTGGGGTCTGGTTAGGATAAAAAATGTCACAAATTTTGCGGCCTGGAGGACCTGGCAGCGAAAAGTGACTATTTTTTCTTAAGAACTCGCAAAATTTCCAAACTTTCGGTGTAGAACTGCTCTCATGACATTATCGGTACTTTTTGCTCGTGACAGAGTCATCTGGAGTTACATCCCCTGTTTCTAGCACGGGAATTAAACGATAAAGTCGACCAGCGGTTACCAGCGGTATAGGAAAATACGGCGTCAGCGGTTACCAGCGGTGTAGGGTTATAAGGGTTAACAGGTGAATTTTTGTAATCACCTGTCAGCTGTATTTTAGAACATTCCTTAATAAAATATACTCGATTAGATCTAGTTAACAATCCCAGTGGATGATTTCTACTGATTTTAAATCTAATAAGTTTACAGCCCGAACAAGATCGCTGTCGAAAGCAAGTCCGTCATTTTTTTTTCTAATCTTGACATTATGCTTATTTAACGCATATTTTCAAAACTTTTAGTGCAAAATAGTGTTCGTTATAGAATGAATTCTTTAAAACAAGTTTTGCAACCAAAATCTGCTGTGCAAAGTATGGGTGACATTGCTTCATCCATTAAAAAGATAATCTGAGGAGAAGTTACGCCACGATATTTTGACCGCACATACACACTCACATACACACACACACACACACACACACACACACACACACACACACACACACACAATTTTTTTATCGTCGGTGGGCCGCATCGATACCATGATCAATACCATCAAAGATTCTGTATAACAAGATGGTACACTACTCTCTTTGAACCAATTAAAAAAGTGTCCTTAAAATCCAGTGGCGCCCTCTTCGAATAAGCGCCCGATTTGCGAACAGAGTAACCCGACTTGTGTGGAAAAAAGTCAAAAAAGTGTGCTGTTGAGAAAAAATATGTGTCTCGACGTGGTGGAATCAGTTGCTGGTTAAAATAATGAAATGGACGATATCAGCATCTTTCCTGTGTGTCCTCAAAATCCGGTTGCGCCCTCTTCGAAAAAAAAACCCCACGCTTTGCGAACATATTTACCCTACTTGTTTGGAACAAATCAAAATGAAACTAACAAGTTTTTGTATAATAAATTATAATTAAAATTTCGGAATAACGCCTTTTTAAATGGTTACGCTGACAAAAATCCTTTTCAGGTGGATAGGGTGACAGTTTTCTTCGTTTTATTTGGCTTTATAACGAGAGGCAAGAAGTCATTAAAATAAAATAAACCCAAAACTCACCTCTGAGCGAACCGGAACCGCTGATGCACAAGGGTGTGCTATTTCTATACTTCTTCTGGGTAAACGAAAGAAAGTTTCAAAACAAAGACTACAGCGACATTTGAACCAATGCGCGGACTTCCGCGGACACACTTTTAGCCGAGTGAACTATCTTGTTATGTACAATCTTTGGTGAAACTCAACATTTGTTACGCCAAACGTATCAAATCTAGGTACTGGGCAAATAGAACTCTGTAATTCTGAGGTAGCGACAATTGTCAGTATTTCTGTTCCGCGCTATTTACAGATCGGCGCTATCTAGATTGCACTGCGCGTTTTAACAATCGTATAATTGTATAATTCTTGTGGCTCTTCAGTTTCATATCTTCATTTTGATTTTAATTTTAATTTTAATGTTCATATTTTTTTCACTTTTGAAAATATATGTGAATATTCCTTGATGTGAATAAAAGAATAAAGATGGAAGTGATTTTTTTTTAATATTTCAAAAACATAAAAAAATTAAATGTACTTTGTGAGCTTTGAGTTTGATACCTGGCATTATATCATTCCTGAGAGCTCTTCAATTTCATACGTTGATTTTAATTTTAATTTCAATTTTCATGTTTTTACCTTTAAAAAAATATGATATGAGTAAAACAATAGATGGAAGTGAAATTATTTTTAAAGAATGATTTTTAAAAAAAATTAAATTATTTAAAAGCACTTTGTGGACTTTGAGTTAGATACCTTGCATTGTATCATTCTTGTGAGCTCTTCAGTTTCATACTTTAATTTTAATTTTCATATTTTTACACTTTTGAAAATATATGTGAATGTGCCTTGATGTGAGTAAAAAGAATAAAGATGGAAGTGAATTTTTAAAGAAAATATTTTTAAAACATTAACACCTTCTTCAGATTGAAACGCAATTATAATAATATGATCGTTAAAACACGCAGCGCAATCTGCAGCTATCGGGATATAACGTGAAACATTTCAATTTACTAGAGTAGCTACGAGGCGTCAAGTTCCATTGTCTCATCATCGAGTGCCAGATCTGCCACAGACATTGGCAATCATGGCTCTCCATCCCTTGAACACTATACAACAGACCATGATGGGTACGAAAGCAGAACACACACACACACACACACACACACACACAAACACACACATACACACACATACACACATACACACATACACATATACACACAAACACACACATACATACATACATACATACATACATACATACATACATACATACATACATACATACATACATACATACATACATACATACATACATACATACATACATACATACATACATACATACATACATACATACATACATACATACATACATACATACATACATACATACATACATACATACATACATACATACATACATACAGACAGACAGACAGACAGACAGACAGACAGACAGACAGACAGACAGACAGACAGACAGACAGACAGAATGACACAGACACGTACATACACTTACACAGAGACAACCACACATACATACAACAACAATACATTCATACATACATACAGACAGACAGACAGACAGGCAGACAGACAGACAGACCGACAGACAATCAGACAGACAGACAGACAGACAGACACACACACATACATACACACACATACATACACACACACATACATACATACATACATACATACATACATACATACATACATACATACATACATACATACATACATACATACATACATACATACATACATACATACATACATACATAAATACATACATACATACCTACCTACCTACCTACCTACCTACCTACCTACCTACCTACATACATACATACCTACATACCTACATACCTACATACATACATACATACATACATACATACATACATACATACATACATACATACATACATACATACATACATACATACATACATACATACAGACATACAGACATACATACAGACAGACAGACAGACAGACAGACAGACAGACAGACAGACAGACAGACAGACAGACAGACAGACAGACAGACAGACAGACAGACAGACAGAATGACACAGACACGTACATACACTTACACAGAGACAACCACACATACATACAACAACAATAACAACAGCAACAACAACAGCAACAACCACTACATCATTCTTTCCATCACTAACAGCAAGCAAACTTAAAATAAACTAGAAAGGCAGGCAAACAACATAGAGTAATGTACAGACAATGGCGACGGACACACATTCTAAGTAAGTGAAAAGGAAAGTGGAATAGACAACGACACATACAGTATTTAAACAATGAAAACAGCATTCAAAAAACAGTATCACA